TCATTTTATTCAACTGTTTCCCAGAGTGGTTGATTCTTGTTTTAATTAAAACAATCTACACTGATACGTTCCTTAAGAAAACATGCTAAACCCAGGATTTAAAAAGCTACTTTAGATACGTAAGTGGACAGTCCCTGCTCCGCCCCATACAATTAGGTTAATTTTACTATTAAAACTACTACTGAAAAAATCTGTTTGAAAAACAACATTTTCAATATGTTTTATTTCTCATGAACTTAATTATAGCGGCAGTGAGTACCTGCTGAAAGTCCTGAAGGAGTGGGCTGGGGACAGATTATCTTGGATCAAGGAAAAGAAAGAAAAGTGAACAGAGTTTTTGACAACAAGGATGTCACCTTAAATTCTACAAACCTGAAGATGGACGGCTCTCAGAGTTATAACTGCTCTTCCTTATTAACTTCTTGCCTGTTGCGGGTCTTTGGACATGTGACCTACTGCAAAGAAAAACATAGTGCAACATTAATGAAAACAATTACATAAGATGTCCTGTGGAACAATAGTTAGAAGGGGCGTTGTCTTACCTGAACGGCTTTTCTCAGCATGATGATGGAGAATATGTGATTTACATATACTGTATAGTTCAAATCTTTCTCAGCCTCAAAATCACTGGGCCAGTTGTTACTTACCCATTCCAAACTTCTCTTCATGATTTGAACAAGAAAAAATATACAGGTAGCAGGGGCAAACTGGGGAGTAGTATTGAACCAAATTTACCCTGCTTACATAGCTTACTTTAGCTTCTATTATTTGCATTTTTTAAGGGGAAAAGTAGCCACCAGCGCTAATCCTCTGCTGTGATAAACAGATTGTTACACTTGTTGGAGGATCAAACATAAATCTACCCATAAATAAAAGACAGATTTTCTCAAACAGAAAAAAGATGAAGAAATTTAAAAATCAAAATAAGAAATAAGCAATTAACGTTGTTTTGCTTTTGTGCCTTTGAGTCAGTTTTGACTTCTGACGATTGCCTGGACTAGTCCCTGAAGTTTTCTTGGGAAAGTTTTTGCAAGTGGTTTGCCATTTCCTTCTTCCTAAGGCAGAGTGTGACCAGACCAAGGTGACCCAGTTGGTTTTGTGCCTCAGGTACCTCCAGAGTTTTAGCCTAACACTTAACCATTATACCAAATTGGCTCTCTAACTTTAGTCTTAAAAAGTACAAAGTTCACTACTCTCATGAAATTCATGCACTTTGGTGATACAAAGTCTATGCCAAAAACTATTATTTTGATTTAGATTATACTCATGCATGCATTTCAATGTTATTCCCTTTACGGTAAGCAAAACTATGCAAAGCACAGAAGAGAGTAAAAAATGTTGAGAAAAAGAAACTGGAGGCAATAAAAGATAATCTAACTAAATCAACTTTATACTAACAAGATTTACCCTAATTCTGTGTACTTTCTACTACTGCACCCTATCTTTGCTTTCAAATATGAATACACTAAAGATATTACTATAGAAATTTACACATAGGTGTACAATGTTATTTATACTAGACTCAATATAATCCAACTCAAATTAGTATTTCATAATTAAATGGAAATAGTTATGCAGGGAAAACATTAACATAGGAAACCAGTATTCTCTTTAAAATAGTAAAAGATTGTTCAGGACTGGTATATACCAGTGTGATTGTAAAATAATAGTGTTGATATCATGAGATATTTATAAAGTATAAAGCAATCTGCAGGGAACCATTATAAATTCTGAGTTAAAAAATGGAAAACCACACCACAGAGGAGGTAGGCCTTTTGTAAATGCACTGCTTTGTTCACACAGTTGTACTAAATATTAAATAAGCAAACCTTGGCTTCAGTTTTCTCTGTGTGTAAGATGAGCATGAAATGCTGGCTCTTTCCCAATGTTTCTTAGAACTAGCCTGTTTGGGGCTTGATTTCCTGCTTTCAAAAACTTCCTGGTCTATAAAAGATAATTCACAGAATATAGTTACAGTCATAGTTAATTGCAATATGCAGTTAAAGGAGCTCCAGGGAATGACATAAACATCTAAAACACATCCTTGGCATTCGTAAGACATATTAGGAGAATATAATGAGTCCAAAACCAGAAAAAATACATGGAATCTGATTGGATTTCCCAATTTAATTACATTTGGATATAGAAGGGGAATTCTTGAGAATCAGCTGTGGAAATGTTGGTTTCAGTGGCCACAGAGGTGCTGGTTCAAATTACAACTTCTCTGCATCTGCTTTCAGCTGAGCAGGAAGGTGAGAGAGATTGCCAGTAATTAATCAAATATATAAGAGAAGAATAAGCTTATTCCCAGAGGCATCCGCAGAAACTAATGCTTTTGTCAAAATGATGATAGTGGAATTGCACCATTGTGCTGGAAACATTGCCCTTTTCATACGTGAATGTGACATCACACAAAGATACATGCAGGGAGTTTGCAACACAACTGCTTTTTTCATTTGCCCTGATCCAGTAATGCCTGCACAGCAATGCCAACAATGTCACTTCATGAGTGTGCAAAGACCAGTTCCAACCTTTGATTTACTAAATCACTATGAAGTGGATTGTCCTTGTTGCTAGAACCAAACAATCCTACCTTACTTGGGAGCAATCTCCTTATGGTTTATGTAAAATGTACTTTGGAGGTTTATCTCATTTGTGAGGAGCAATGAAACTAAGAGCATATATACTGGTAGCAGCTTCTTTATGACCCAACCTTAAAGAAATCAATATTGTACCAAGAACTGAACGTATTGTGAGATCAAAACACAGAAAATACTTTGAATACATAAAAAGTCTCAAATGGAAAGTATGTTTATTCATAATTTCATGTATTTCTAAGTCTATTCTAAAAAAATACCAAAATTTATTAGTAAATAATAAAAATGAAGATAAAAATTAGGGGGCTCTGAAAACAACTGGCCCTAGAGTAGGAAGTTGAGATGCAGTTGCAAATGCATGGACACATTTTTTTAAACTGAGTAGTACTTTAACACTTCCTTCCTCTTCCAGAACTAGGATTTTCATGAAAGAGCCACTGCTATCACATACAAAGATTTCTGGAGAAAGGATTTATTTCTTATCACTCTCTCACCATAGAACATTTTAGTTCAAAACCTTTATGCTCTCTCTTTCATTATGGTGGTGGACAGGACATGTGGGAATCTAAAAGTTCCCACCCTCATTAGCGCATCACACAGCACTCCAAGGGATTTTAGAGCCTGCAAGTTATTTTTCCCTCTCCTTACTACAAGGAAGATAAATTTAAATTCTTCCTGAGAGATTGACATAAACCCTACAATTATGGTATTAAATATGAAATCCTATAAATCCTGTTGTTTTCAAAAGAGTTTATGGCTAATACCCTTCCAGGATTATGTCATTTAACCTGAGCCACTGCCCTACCATGGAGTCATAATTTTAAATTCTCAATAAAGTAGGACGAGAATAAAATAACCTTTCTTTTAAATATAAAAGTTTTCACTTATATTTTGTGTAACATGGGACAGTAATTAGATGTCCTCCAAATAGTTTTGATTTCACCTGCTAACAATCACAACCAAAATGGCTAACATAAGACATTCTGGAAACTATAGTTTAAACCAGGGGTCTTCAAACTTGGCCCTTTTATGACTTGTGGACTTCAACTCCCAGAATTCCTCAGCCATGCTGGCTGAGGAATTCTGGGAGTTGAAGTCCACAAGTCATAAAAGGGCCAAGTTTGAAGACCCCTGGTTTAAAACATCAAGTTTCCTGCTCTTGCAAGACATTTTAAAACAATTGTACATCTGACTAACTAGAAAACAACAGTCCAATTTTACCTTTAAAACTGCCGGTTCTCTCCATTTGTTTGAGGCTGCTATTTGCAAATTGAGGCTTCAACACCTGATCTTTGAAATGATTTTGCTGTTTGATGATCTCAGTCTTTTTATTGCCTTCAAAAGTTCCCAGATCATTGCTCATATTTTCATCTGTCTGCTCCTCATACGTGCTATTATTCTTACAGTAACAGGGTCCAGTATCGTAGGCTTCTTTGAAAAAATCATGTTCTTGACAAAAAAAGAACCGATGGGTATTTTCACCCCGAAATCTTTTGGACTTATTGAGATAGTTCAAATAAAAATAATATTTAGCCAAAATGCCATCACTATGGCTGAAATCTAATGGGAATGTATTGCTGCAAAGTGGTTTCTCATGACCATCCCCTTTAACAGTTGCAGTGAGGAATTCTTCAGCACCAAATGCTGATTTGAGGCCAGTTGCAGAAATATTATCATTTATAGAGCTTTGCTCATTTTTGGAGACGATACAAGGCTTATGGACTACCCGGTCATCCCTGATCTGGTGAGGCCTAGCTAGCAAAATGCAGTCACTATTGCTCTTATTCATGCTTTTGTGATTCAAAGAGTCTGAGTCCTCTTTATAAGTATTATTTACTTTATAAGTATTATTTTCTGAAGGCTTCAGTAATGAACCCTCCGAACTGCTCTTAATTTGCATAACTGAATATTCCAATAGAGATATTAATTCTGCATCTTTTTGATATGTATCGCAACTATTTTTGTTAAAATTGACTTCCTGTTTATTTTTCCTCCCTTTAAAGATCTTGTCCATTTCCAGCGTTTGCTGTAATTTAGATTCATTTCTCTGGTCTGAGGCTCTCTCTAGAGGTGGAATATCTGACACCTGATCCCTCAGCCTATCTTTTTCTACTGTAGACTTGAAATGAAAATGGATATTTTCATTTGTAGACTTTTCATGGTTGCTTTTTATGGAATTCCGTCTTCCACTAAAATCTTCATATTTTGGATTCTGGGTAAAACTCTTGCATTTATATTCTTGAATATCCAAGGTTTCCATTCCTGAATTCCATTCTTCGTAGCTGTCAAGCATTATTTTGAAGGTAAATTCATCTTCCGGCATAGATGAACTGAAATATTTCGTAATAGTTGGATTGTCAAAGTTAGCACTTTTATAATTTTTGCTGTCCATAGTTGTCCACTTTAAATTATTTTCTGTCCACTCTTCATCTGAACTGTCGCTGAGTGGAACCCAAAAATAGTTTTCATTTTTATGCTTGGCTGGCTGGCTGGAATTTGAAATAAGGCTTGCAGGACATGATGTATTATTAGTTACCAAAGTCCCGGGAGTTTCTTGTTCAAAATTCTCTGAATTATTTTCAAAGGCTACAGAGCTTTTTAAAATATTTGCATATAACAGCTTTGGATCAAAAGTGTCAGGCTTTTTATTTATGCCATCTTTGCCCCTGTTACTTTGAACCATCTTTTTTAATATGCAGTGATCCCAGACAGGTTGATTACTTTCCTGAATGCTATCCCCAATGGGAGACTGATCAAGAAACAATTCTGTCCAATTTACATGTTTGAGTTTTTGAATCTCAGGGATGCTACATTCCCTATGTAGTTCGTTATCTGATCCTGAAATACATGTATTCTTTAAGCATTTTCTTTCTGCAAGACCAGCTGTGGCTCTTGCTGTTTCTTCCTTTCTTAGAGAGGTCACTTCAGGGAGATTCCCAATAGTTGAAGGCTTTTTTCCATTTACTGTTTTGCTGGGTTCTTCAAAGCCCATCTTAGTATCTGTTGTAAAATTCAACAAACAACTTCTAGACTGTATGGAATTGTTATTATCTGCTGCATAAGGCACTATTTTTCCATAGCAAGATATAGGAGTAAATGATACAGAGATTTCAGGAACAGTATCACCAACAGATGGGTATAGTATGTTCTGAGACGGATATTCCATCTGTAGAAATAAAAAATATGCACATTAAAGCTGTTTTATCTGAAGATGAAAACTATTGCTGAGCCTAAACAGTTAAATATTGGAGCTCTCAAATCTTGTCTCCCATAAATCCTTTGAGTTTACATACCCTGGCTTACCTTGTTACCTTAGTAGCTGCTACATAGTTATTGCTACTACTACTTCCCTTCCAAAGAATGCTTTTGCCTGGCATCCTATCCCTACTGCTGGGGTATAAGACAGAAAAAAAACCTCACACACTAGATGCTTTACCAGCAAATAAGGGGAAAAAAAGGAAATAATGAATTTAATTCTCTAACTCCTCTGACAATTTAAATTTTAAATGATTAAGGAAAACAGGGCCCTCTCTTGGAAGTTAGATTGATATAAGTTATAATTAAAATCACACTTTATTAAGAAAAGGAAAAAAGGACAAGCAAAAAATTATTATTTATTTTAGGTAGTCACAAACAATCAATGTTTCAGGAAATTAAAACAAAAAAAATCAGTGCTCTTAAATCCACAAATAGTACTTAAAGGAATCTGCTATAAAAAAAACTATAAAGGAGAAGATAATCTCGTGATAAATCACAAGTTGAACTGCTTGCCAGAGATCTCAAGAGGCATCAAACATACAACAGCTGAGCTTGCATAGTTCCTTTTTGATTCAGCTTTACTTGGGCTTAGTTTTTGATTTTCTGGAAAGTCCAAGCTAAATTCAGCAGCTGAAGAAAAATTTCAACCTTTTGCTTCCCTTCACTCACAAAATAGCATACCTGTTTTTCTCCCGTAGAAATATTTCCTGCCATCTCATGCAAAGACAAGCAAATATCTCTCCCTAGGAGTGAAGAAGTTGAAGATTTGACTCAGTATCATATATGACAAACTACATGTCACCTCAGTGTTGGCAGAAACTCAAGAGTGCCTGTCATTTACACTAGTCAGTATCTGAGAGAGAGGTAAATGACAGAACATCACACTCTGATGTAAAGTTCACTGATTTTGTACATGTGTTGTGACATTGCACACAAACACCTAAGGATCACACCTTGTGCTGTAATGTCAGGATACACATTTATCATGTTGAAGAAACCTTCAGATGCTACAGATCCCCATGGCTGTGAAATCCATGAATATGGGACTGAGGGCTTGCTTGCACATTCACAGCAGGTATAGATACCGATATTTCACATAATTACATTTGGTTCAAACTAATAAGGCTGCACCTCTCAGAAGTTAAGATAGCAAAAAATGCTCTATTATAATCTCTGCAAAATACCATAAATCCTCATCTTATTTACATAAAACAATGAAGTCCATCTTCCTGAACCAATGGGCACATATGGAATAAGTGGATGTGGCCAGTTATGCATTTTGAAAAAGTGGGATGGAGAAACATGCCTAACAGCACACTGAGGTCAAGTCTTCAAAAATCATTCAAAATAATTTAGTCAACAAATGCAGGACACAGATTTCTAATCACAAAGTTGCTGAAACAAAGCACAACAAAATATAACATTTAAATTGCTCAGTTTTTTTTTTAGAGAAACAGGACTTATAAATGACCGAGCATTTATAAATAGATAGATAGATAGATAGATAGATAGATAGATAGATAGATAGATAGATAGATAGATAGATAGATAGATAGATAGATAGATAGATAGATAGATAGATGACTGAGGATTAAAAGAGCAAAATTATAGCTAGAAGCATCTATAGGAGAAGAACAAATAAAGATGGCAGTCACACCTGTGTGATTAAAACCTCAGGTTTTCTTTGTGTGTGGCACATCTGACTGAATCAATAGAACACCCTGTTGTCACACACGAAATGAGTTCGCCATCATTCAACAAGCCAGAACCGGTGGTATCTGAACAAGCCCTGATGACATAAAAATGACAAGCATGTAACGATATCATGACACAAATATTGAACTTACATACATGCACCCCTGCCCTCCTTTCTACTCCTTTTCCACCCGCAGCTGTAGAGGCAGGATAGGGATAAGCAGTAGAAAAGGCACGTTTTCTGCCCTGTTCTCTGCCAGCCCCTATATGGGCCGATAGTGCTGGAGGTTGAAACATTCAGGATGCACATATGAATGTTCCTGAGATCAGGATCCTGACTTGAGCAATCTGTAGATTTTATAACTATTGATTCGGGACAGACCATAAAACATACTAATTCTAACCTTGCTGATTTTAAGTCTCCAGTTTAGAGGAGGGAGAAAACATCTTATGAAGCGCCCGAGTCTTATTTCTCAGAGTCACAGAGAATGTGATAACAAAGCATTCTTATGTCATGCTAGCTCCTTCTAAGTTACCAGGGAAAAAAAAGGGAGGGATAAGGCTTGAGATGTCAGTTTGATCTAGAGCAGCGGTTCTCAACCTATGGGTCGCGATCCCATTTGGGGTCGATCGACCATTTCACGGGGGTCTCCAAGCAAGGCTGTCCGCCATTTTTTTCCCCCTTTTCGGCGGGTGCCTTACCTCCCTTGGGCTGGGCCAGCTGGTGGTNGGCCTGCTCCGTCTCTGCCGCTTGCCAGCTACGCCTCGGCCGGCGCAGGGGGCGGAACCACGCATGCGCGGTGCTCCCGGGCAGGGAAAGTCCTCGACTTACGACCGGTTGGGTAGTCCTCGACTTACGACCGGTTTAGTCCTCGACTTACGACCGGTTTAGTCCTCGACTTACGACAGGTTGGGGGTCGCGGCATTAAAAAGGTTGAGAACCACTGATCTAGAGCCAGCTTGGTCAAGTGGTTAAGGCACCTAGCAGGAAAGCAGGAGACCATGAGTTCAAGTCCTGCCTTAGCCATGAAAGCCAGTCGGGTGGGTTTGGGCCAGTCACTCTTTCTCAGTCCAACCCATCTCACAGGATTGATGTTGTGAGGAAAATAGGAAGGTGTGTTGGATATGTTCACATCCTTGAGTTGTTGTTGTTGTTTTTTTTAAAAAAGGGGGTTATAAATAAAATGTCTCTCTGGAAAATTTGGCAGCCTAGTTCGGATTTCGGCCTGACAACCTAGACCAGGGGTAGTCAACCTTGGCTCTTTTATGACTCGTGGACTTCAACTCCCAGAATTCCTGAGCCAGCATGGCTGGCTCAGGAATTCTGGGAGTTGAAGTCCACGAGTCATAAAAGAGCCAAGGTTGACTACCCCTGACCTAGACAAACCCTCTCTCCAACCATGAGCCTGGGCTACGAGTAGTAAAACCCACCTCCTCCATCGGCAGCACGCTCCTAACCAGGTTCCAAAAGCAAAGGAAAATGCGAGCCTCCCTTGCGCGGATTGGTTGCAGTTTTCGCGGCGTCCTCAAGAAGGCTACACAGGTTGGGCCGACCTCTCTCTCTTACACACACACATACACACACACACACACACACACACACACACACTCTTTCTCTCCTTTGAAAGAATAAAGGTGAAGAAGAGGCGCCAAAACTGAAGGAGCCGCTGGGAAGTTTTCGCTAACACCAGCCGTGGGAAATGTGTACTCCGCCATCCCCGTGGCAACCGCCGAGGGTGGAGCCAGCTGCCGAGGGAAAAGGGTGGAGATGCCGGCTCCCTTCTCCGTTGCCGAGAGCGTCTGAACCTGGCTGAGGAATTCTGGGAGTTGAAGTCCACAAGTCTTAAAATTGCCAAGGTTGAGAACACCTGTGACATAAGTAATGACAACAGTAAGCGTATCAGATGAATGTTGAGCGTGTGTTTTTCAATAGGCTTCGCTTTCGGCTGCCGCCTGTATCTCCTTATCCCTTTTTTTTCCAAGTCCTGGAAACTTTCTTCAAAATAAACAGGCTTCCAGCTGCTACACTACAGGGACAAGCCAAACTTTCCTTGCGTGAGCACACGATTGCACTAGGGGGCGCTGTCGGATTCAGAGAAAGAAAAAGACCTATTTTTTTTCTGTCCGCGGGAAAGTTCGGAAGGAATTGCGCCGTGTTCTCCCTCGCGCGCTTCCTGCGTAAGCTTGGCTCTGAATGGCGGAACACGCGCGGTTTGCGCACAGCAGGTTCCCTGCACCTGGCAGTTTGAGAGTTTGGGAGCCCCACGAAGACAGCGCGATTGGACACACACACACACACAAACACACACACAAACACACACCCTTCCCCCCCCCCCGTTGACTTGTTGCTGCCCCAGAATGATAATGACATGATGCCATTTGGAGATTCTGGGGAAATGATTGGAGATTTTATTGATTAAAAGTAGGCTGCATCAACTGTCATCAGATAATAAAATTAATGCCAGGTGTAAGGCTATATAAAAATGTATTGCCTGATGTATTTGGCTGCCTGGTTATCAAGATAAGGACAGCAAAGTGGTCCCTCTGGGTTTCCTTTTTTATTTACTAAAATTAGGCCAAAATGGGAGGTGGAGGTTGAGGAATGGGGACCCTGGATAGTTGCTTGATTAGTCCATCCTAAAGGCACTACTGTTCCCTGTCATCTCCGCATAGATCAGTGTTTCTCAACCTTGACAATTTTAAGGCATGTGGACTTCAACTCCCAGAATTCCACAGCCAGCAATGCTGGCTGTGGAATTCTGGGAGTTGAAGTCCACATGCCTTAAAATTGTCAAGGTTGAGAAACACTGGCATAGAAGAAACAAGCAAGTAAAACAAACACTTCATTCTCATGTCCTCTTAATGGATTAAAAAGATTTATCCCATAATGCGTCTTTGCCTTTGATTCCAATTAAAGTTGTCCTTAGCTATTCCAGATTTAAATTAGAATACAGATAGTCTTCAACTTACAACCATTCATTTAGCAACTAGTTGAAGTTATAACACACTGAAAAAAGTGAGTTTGACCATTTTTCACACTTATGACTGTTGCAGCATCCGCATGGTCATGTGGTGTACATTCAAAGGCTTGACAACTGACTCATATGTATGCCCCCCCTGGCCAAGCCCCCCCACCCCCCAAGGTCAACTGCAACCCTGATGCAGCCCTCAATGAAATCAAGTTTGACACCCCTGCTCTAGACATTTGGACATCAGCTTCAAGATTCACTGGGTACCAGCCTTCTGCTGAGGCATCTGTCTTCAGAATGCTGACTGGTGCTTTCTGACTGTTTGAAAGATCCCACAAGAAAGCTATAAATATAAAAGCCACACTTCTCTGTGCATTAATGATTCACCTGTGGAGATGGTTACCAGCATCAAATTTCTGGGCAGGCAGTTAACAAGTAGGCTGGCTTGGTCGCTCAACAGTGAGACACCGGTGAAGCGGGCACAGCAGCACTTGTATTTTCTGCGTCACATGAGAAAAGTACATCTTCCTTCCCGTCTTTACCACTTTCTACAGAGGGACGATCGAGAGCATCCTGTCATACAGCATCAGTCTGGTTTAGAAGCATCACTGCTTCAGACAGGAAGGGGGTGCAGAGAGTGGTGAAGATGGCTGAAAAGATTATTGGTAGTTCCCTCCCATCCAGGACATAGCACAGAAGCGTTGCTTGAGCAGGGTCCGTAAGATTGTCTGGGACACTACAAATCCTCTTCACGACCTGTTTTCCTTGTTACCTTCTGGAAGGAAGTGGTATCCGAAGCAGAACATCCAGATTCAGTCACAGTTTTGTTCCATACAGTATTAACCTTGTGAAATCTAAAGCTTCCTCCTTCCGTTTTGTATTCAAGATGGACAGTGATTAATATTTATGTTACTTATATGTAAGGGTCTATGTCTATACATGTTGTATACACTGCAGCATGTTTAAATGTGTGTTATGTATGTGCGCACAGTAAAACATGACAATAAAGATCTATCTATCTATCTATCTATCTATCTATCTATCTATCTATCTATCTATCTATCAATGCATGACTTTAGAGCTGTTTGGACAAAGTATTAGATTAGATTTTTTAAATCTTGACTGAATGTAGAGATGTATAGAGATCTTGGAGAAGGAATGCACAATTATATTCTGGGAGGCCAAAAATGTGAGAAACTCAAGATTTGATTCTCTTTGGTGTTAAGAGGGAGAGAAGGAAAAATGCTGTTAGGCCTTCAAGCTTGTTATTATAGCCTCTATCAATAACAATTCTAGTATTTTTGCAGTATCTATTTCCTGTCCTACCTCAAATTCCTGATTTCAAGTGATTTCAGTATTAGTCCTGTGTTTAGAAAATTAGTACTCTCTCAAGAAAGCACTATCCTTGTGTTGCACAGATTTAATAAAAAAAAATTGGGACCTGCCGACTATGTATTGCTCATTCTGTCCTCCATGAGCACATTTCATCTTTTTCATTGCTTCTGCTGATGACTTTATGTGCCTGAAACTTTGTTTTCATTAATTTCTGTCATTATTGTCTGACTTTATTGACAACATACAGCACTAGTCAAAGGACCAGTCATTAAGTCTCCTTTTTCAGCACCATCATATTTAAACATGAGTCTATAAGCCCATGGTGACTCTTTTCAATGTATTTTTTATTAGGGAGTCTTATCATTACATTAACATATAAAACAGTCAAGATGTAGACATAGAAATGTTAAATTCACTTTACAAAGATAAGGCTCAAGTTTACAGGTTTACATTTCCCGCCCTACCCATGCCAGGAATTCTTGCCCATTTGCATTTCAGAGAAATAATCCCTATTTAATTCTTCCCAGAGTTTGTGTTTATAAATATTAAACAAACCACAAAATATACGTCAAGTACAGAATGTTCTACAATATAGTCCAAGCACAAACAGAAATACACAATACTGCACCTACGAACTCTTCATATGCCATCTCTGGTACTTCCAGTTCTGGAGACAAGACTTCTCTGATTTATGTAAATATTCTTCAGTCTTTTCTCATGTCTAGAATCTAGAAAAGAGCCCTCACAATTTGATTGATATATCTCTATCCCTTCATGTACATGCACGTGCCATTCACTGTATACATATCCTTATTGCACAGTTTATTCTCTGAGGTAACTGGTTCCTCAAGCAATTCAATCTTTCCCAGATCAAATTAACTACTACTAACAAAGGTTTCTAATGATTTTGGAGCAATAGTACGTGGACAAGACTACATTTTAGAATCCAGGATCTATAAAGAGCTTGGTATAAATACCCAGAGGACCAAGACAAGAGTTTGGATTTATTGCTATTATAATATTTGCAATATCTATATAGTCTACTTTTATAACTATCTCTAGGGTTACTGTTATTTTGGTTTAGAAAACCACAATCGATGCTTCCTGACTGGGTTTTGATTCAGATCAAAGTTTCAAACAGGAGTTAAATATGCACCAAATAATAAATAGAATTTTTCTTAGCAATGAAATAATTAAGGAAGAGCTCAAAAACACACTGAAGATAAAATGGTTTCAGTCATAAAAACATTTCATATATTTACTTATGATTGAAAAGATTGCCCTAAAAAAACCTACAAGTATTTACTTTTTAGATGATGTAATACATGAAAGGGAAATTACCCAAGATTTTCAACTAGCCAATTATATAAAAAAAAGAAATCTAGTTTAAAACTTGTCTCCTGATCCAGTTGCTCTTAGCAACTGTGAGAACTCCAGAAAATGAACTATTCCAAATCAGCTCATAATTTCTTCTAGAGTGCATACATATTCTTTTATACAAATTACAAACACAATCTGATTTTTAATTAAGCACATGGGAATTACATGGGAGTTAGTTAGAAAGGTTTATATATTAGAAAGTAGATGAAATATGGATTAGGTTTTGTTGCAATATTTGTAATAGGAAATGTAAATAAAAATATTTTTAAAAAAATTAACTTTAAGTTTAAAATGTACTTTAAGTACTTCATACATTTACTCAATTATTTAAAAAAATAATTTATTATTTTGTAATAATAGATAACAATTCTAAAACTTTAATAGAACAAGAATGCTTTGGGAGCTTCCTTGAAACAAAAGGCTGTAATCTTATTAATCTCGAACAAGGATCTAAACTGAACATATTTCTAAGGAAACAAGTGTAGGACTGTGTGTAAATATCGCTGGTGTAGTTAGGAAAGGGGAAAGAGTGGAATTTTGTCTCATGAAATACAGATTGGCAAATATGCTATTCAGTTTAGTTCTTCTGCTTCTACCTCCATACATTTGAAAATTGGGCATGTGGAAATGTTGATCTTCTCTAAATACATGAGATTTTAGTCACATCCTCTTAAAAGAGCTTGGAGTTTTACACAGGCACAAAATCTCCATCAAGACAACAAAGATACACCACTGTCAAAAGGACTTTTTATAAATAAATCATGTGCATCCATTGTTAATTACACCAGGTAAGAAAGCATGCTTAAAAATAATGGCATGAAATTGTGACTCTGGGATTTATCGTAATGAAAAATAATGAATATACTCAGAAATTAACTTTTTTCAGGTGTCTGAAATTCACAGAGGTTTTTCACAGAAACTTCTATCTTTGGAAACAGGTTAATTTTTTAATTGTTATGTATTTTAGTAAGTTTAGCTTTATTTTTTTTAAAAAACAAAAATCACCATTTCTCTGTAACTTACAATCATGTACACTCAATTCAAAATTTCTAAATCTCCCTCAAAACTGTATTTGCACTACTTTGCAAAAAAAAAAAAAACTTTCATGAGTGCATCAAAGTAAAAATCCAAATTTCCATCTTGAGAAAATGATATCCCGCTCTTCAGTTTCAGAACAGGTTCTGCAATATGGTACTATACATTATACTGGTCATGTATCTGCTGTTTAATATTAATATTCCTCAGAGACATGAGGAATATGCAGGACAGGTTCAACCGACAGGAGAGAATGCTTAACCATTTCTGCATCCACTAATTTTTTTCTGCAAATACCCTTCCGAGCTGATTGTGCATACAGAAAAAAAACAATGTACAAAGAAAGGGGTATCTTCTCCTCCCATGGAATTCTCACCTGTAAATCACGGTTACACTGATTTATCCTAATGTGTAGTTCTTCCGAAACTTGTTAATCAGTCTTTCCATATACTGTAGATCAGACATGCCTGTTTTCCATCTGAATTATTCACCTTGTGCATATCTTGAAGAATATTAGTCTTTTTTAAAAATGCTTTAAAAATTCATGTTATGTCCTTGTGCATTTATTCATCTGTACACTTAAATATTTTCAGAAATTGCATTTGCTAAAAATTTACCAAAATTTGTAAAGACATAAAAATATTTTTAAATGAAAAAAATCAATCAAACAAAAAAATAATAAAACCCGAGCAATCGGTGGGTACTTATATAGGCATTGGTTAGTAGATATTGTTTTACTAAGGAATATATTCAAAAGCATCTTCTTCTATTTGTAGTAAATGCTTAAAATTAGGATATCATGGCTTGATATGGTAGAAATGATAGCTTTCTCTTCAGCTTAATTACTGATAAAAACAGGAAAGCAAATAAAAACAAAGACTGCTTTTTGGTTACTTAAAGGCCACTACTACATCAATTATTCAATTATGAAAAGTAAATGTAAGAATTTTGAAGTTATCGTCTATCAAAATAAAGAACTAATTGAAGATAACCTGCAGGATGTTTATGAGCACCTAACTACTGACTAAAATTCACTAGTTTTGAATATAGCCCTTAGTTTTGCACGTTTTTTTATGTTTAAGAGCTGCCAAACAAATGGCTAATGAAGTCTACTTTGCAGGCTATCCACTGTCTGAGAGGACAGTAATATTCAATGTGAAACTGTTGAAACTCTGGTGTCTGGCGAATTTCATGGAGGAAGGAGATGTCAAGGTCTGATTCCAGAAGGACAAGTAGTAGAGGGAAAACTACAAGCAATACCCCAAGCCCAACAAAAAGAAATCTGGAAAAACTCTTCACAGCAGCATTTACCTTCAAGTTACCCATCAAAAAGTCATAGCTCCACCTAAGTGCTTTCCGGGCTTCCTTCAACTCTTCCTCCTCTGCAACCAAAAATGCATTTTCATCCGCCTCCAGTTCCTCAAATGAATCTGTATCTTCTTTCCCATTTTCTGCCCTTGGAGAAGTTTGAAAGAGAAGGTCTATCTCCTCATCGTTAACAGGAGTGGGGAGCAAGCTGGTGCTTGGACTGTAGATCAATTCTGAAATTATTAAAGGCTCCTCTTTGATTTTCTCACCCTCCTCAACTGAAAGATCTGAACCATCATCTGTTTCTTTAGTTGGAGAGCTTGATATCACAGGGAGAGAAATGTCATCTTCTTTCGGCAGCTGGATTCCTGTAAAATGGCACTTTTAGATTCTCAAACTTACATTTCAAGGAGATAAAACTATAGACAAAACATAAACAACTGCAGAAAAAACTGCTTGCAATTTAACCATTAACTGGTTTATATTAAGTGAAGGGGACTTCTTCCTAGCTCAGCAAGCTAATTGTAACTCGTTACCATTACTCATTTTACTACAAAATCCATATTTTTTTAAAAAAAATAAAAATCTGCATTTTGTAAACCTGAAATGAAAATCTTCGGTTATTTCATTGCACAGAACTATATTGCATGATTCTGAAGCCATGATAAAATACTGTACTTGCATTATCAGACACGTGTATAATGTGTGTTTATGATACATTATGATGTATCATAATCTATTAATAGACTATTGATGAGAAAATACAGATTGATGGGAAATACTGGTTATCACGTAATTCTATTTCTCAAGATATAATATTAATCAATATTACAAGGATGTCATAAGTGACAAAATGCATTATAGTATGTAAGACAGTTTGATGGAATGAACTAACTGGAGGAAAAGGTTTTCATTACTCCTAATATGGTTAAACTACAAATTGCATCATTTGCATCAACTTTGTGTAATGATACCAATATACAAATCATGCAGCTGATAGTATAATTTGAATCAATTTGTGTAAACAGCAGTGTGCAACTAGCATAAATCACAACAAATGATATTAACTAATTGAATATAAAGTAATTATCCATACAAATTTTTATCTACTGTTAATGTGTGAAATTGACGTTTTGCTGTTTTAACAGTTATGCAGTTATGCTTATGCCATTTAACAGTTATGCTTATGCCATTTAGCTTCAAAGTTAGCAGCTCTAAATTAAAAGAGTTCTCTATGTAAATTTGCAACAAACACTAATTTTTTGTACAGTCTTCTAAAATTATACAACTCCATTTAGAGTCCAGTTTTATTTAATTACTTTTTTGTGTGGGTGAACTGAAATGAGGTTTATTTTTCAATGCAAAAAAACAGATAAGAATGAATATAAGCCTAAACTCTTAGAACTAAAGATACTGTGCATAGGAAATGTCCCTAATTCTATCTCTATAGCAACAGTCTGGTAAAATAGTTTGGGCTAAGAAACAGCAACAGACCCAATGGCTTCAATGATCAGTTTTATTTATTTATTCAACAATATCAACAGCTTTGACAATCTGTTTTTAATTTAGTATTTTCCCTTGAATATTAATTGTAAGTCTGTTCACACTGGTTTAGATTTAGCCTGGCTTTTGTACATATATTCAAAATAAACTAAAACTGCATCTAATTCAACTTGAGTTAGACCAGTGGTTCTCAACCTTTTTAATGCCGCGACCCCCAACCGGTCGTAAGTCGAGGACTACCCAACCGGTTGTACGTTGAGGACTTTCCCTGCCCGGAAGCACCGCACATGCGTGGTTCCACCCCCTGCGCTGGCCAAGGCGTAGCTGGCAAGCGGCAGAGACGGAGCAGGCCAACCACCAGCTGGCCCAGCCCAAGGGAGGTAAGGCACCCGCTGGAAAAGGGGGAAAAAATGGCGGACAGCCTTGCTTGGCGACCCCCATGAAATGGTCGATCGACCCCAAATGGGGTCGCGACCCATAAGTTGAGAACCGCTGAGTTAGACAATCTTGATTTTATTTATGGCTCCAAAATCCACTTTAAATGTTGTTATCCTCCACAATTTATATATCTTTTCATTCATAGTATCAAATAAGTGGTAGGATTTAGGATTGATCTTGAAGGCAGAAGCACAAAAAGGATGTCCACCTTTGGATTGCTTCTTCAAGTAGGAAGGTGAACAATGGATGTTTATTTGGATTTGGATATTAATGGAGATATTAGGGGCATCCCTGGGTGAAACAGTATGATAGTTGGTAGGGTTACTTTTTATTTCAATCAGAGCTGGTGTGATGGATAGATGAAGACAGGAGACAACCTGGCCACAGCCACACAGGTGCAACCTGCATGTTTACATATAGGCTTTGAATAAGAAGGCTGAGTTGGATAGAGAAATGTACTGTAGCTCACTATGGGCTTTTAGAGTTGTAAATGAGATCCAGGATAAAGGACATTTCTCTTTTAATATCTGTTTCTTATTAATCGGCAGCTTTGAATGATTGTTTTCCCTGTTTGTATGACATTTCTATGGCTTAAAGGAAGGCAATTGAAGCTTAGACATGTGAATTTTATTTTCCTCCCTAGTCCATATTACGAAGCAGAAAGGAAAGAGGCAGATCTATGAAGGGAGGTAAAACCCATTCAATTAGAATGGTTCTTATCGGTGTCTCCTCTGTGTACTTCGCAAGTCAAACTCTTTACCACAGGATATGATGTCACTTTCTGAAGTGTGAAGACAGGAACCTTGAGTTACTCTGATGCAGGAATGGGGGCAAATATAAGGAGACAAAATAATGGCACCATCATCTTCATAAGCTGGTTGGACTCAAGTGGCATCAACACTGAATAAACAAATAAATAATACATCTTTATGTTGAATGCCAGGCAGGTCTTTTAAGAAATGGTAATGGTTAAAAAAAGATAATCTCATAGTAGTACAAGGGTCCAACCTAGTCTTTATTATGAGATTAGCAGACTGTGGCAGGGATTTGTTTGGGCCCACTTATTGTCAATAAGCAATTCCTATTGGTTAAAAGCTTAATGGTATACACGTTTTTCTTAATGGTGTATAAAGCCATATACAACTGATGCCTACCTATTCTTACACAGTCCTCCTCTGACTCTTTAATCATTAGCAGGAACTCTTGGGGCATTTTGCCACACATAATTTGACATTAATTCTCATTTCTTCATGCTACGTGTCACTGGAGTTAAGAGCTTGAAAGAGGGCTTAATAATATTTATTTACTTAGACCTTTTAATTATTTCAAATTCTGATTTATTTTTTCAAAAAATTGTTTCAAGGTTTCAATAAATTGTTAAGATTTGCGTTAATTCTGTTTGTTATTTTAATTGCATTTTTCTAAGCTATCCTGGGTACTATAATAAATACAATCAAAGAAAGACAAAAGAGAAAAACAACAGCCTGGGGGAAAAAAACTGAAGCCCCATATGATATAGGACATATTCACTATTTGACAGTGATAGAGAATAATTAACAAAAATGTGTTTCATATAAAATAAAACAAGTGCTACAACACAGAATGAGAAACTGGTAACATTCAAATAGAACAAACAGTAAAACTATGGACCTCATCCACTTCCACCTCCCAATAAATAATATTTGCAGATCAACGATACTGGCTATCACATATTTTGAACTGATTGCTGTATGAAATAAATTAACTAGCTTATAACCTAGATTATTCTGATTTAAAGCTATCAGCTATTTATTGAATCAACACTCCTCATGTTGGAGGCATATCTGTCATGGACTATCAGGATAGGAAAATAATTAGTTCAGACCTACCATCTCTGCCCTGGAAAATGAAAATCTACTTCAAATAATCTCCTGATAACTTCAACTGAATCTGATGCTAACATATAACACAAAGAAGATAGGAAAAAGTTCCAGTTAAATAGTCAGTAGAATCTTTTAGAGCAGGTTATATACTTGTAGAACAAATGGAAACCTGTAATATACTAATAGGAATTTTTTTTTAAATAATTTGCAAAGTCACTGCATGTTTCTATATTAATTAAGAAATAAGAGACTGTATAATGTTGTTTCAATTTCCTCAAAAAGTAGATTTTAATTTAATAAGAATGGAGAATGAATCATTTTAATTCTTCGTGGTATCCGTAGCAGAACATCCAGATTCAGCCATACAGCATTAACCTTGTGAACTCTCAAGCTTGCTCCTTCCGTTATATATTCAAGTTGGACAGTATTTAATATTTGTTATGTATATGTAGGGGTATGGGTCTATATATATGTTGTATATAGTATGTTTAGATGTGTGTCATGTATGTGTTTCACTTTCAGAGCAGGCAACTAAATTTCATTTTTGATGTGTGCCATTGTGCCCACAGTAAAAAAATGACAATAAAGGTTATCTTATCTTATCTTCAAAAATTAATCTCAAGTAACTCAACCACATGTATATATACACATGTGTGTGTGTATGTGTGTATTTAAATAAATTCAGATTAAGCAGTATTCATAGTCTTTAGTAGTTACTAATTCTGCATTCTTAACATTAAGATTAGAAAAACAACCCTTATAAAAACATGAATTATGATTGTGTCTGATCCAGTATTTAGTTTTCATAGTTGCTCAGTTTTATTCTTTTTTACTTCATATTTGAAAAGGTCCTCATGTGTGAATACGTATTATATAGAATTTGATAAAATAGAAAACTGGACAGCTTATTGCCTACTGGAGAAAGCTACCTTTTTAAAGATTATATCAGAACATTCTTTCATTTCATTTTACATTCATCGCCACCATTCAAAATAAACACTTTTTTGACTTTAGCTACATCATCACAATAATGGTGATGATGATGATGATTATAAAGACAAAGGGTTAAAAATATAGTTCATACAGAGCACATTAATACAACATAGTACAAAATTAAAATGGAATAAGACCACTTTTTCAGTATGGACATGATTTTAAAACATGATGTAAATTCATTTAAATTGCATTTTCGTCATACACAAATATGGAGGACAAAAGCTCAAAATGCTTTCAACGGCCTCTTTAATTTAATAAAGAGTTTAGTAAAAATGGTCTCAAAAAATGGCTGCTAGCCTTGATTTAATTTCTCTGCATGCACATGCTCACAGAAAAATTTGCATACATACATACCCATCACGCTATTCTCTTTTGGGTTAAGCAACGTTTTGAAAAATGCAGAAAAAGAATAAGAAATAGTAAGCAAAATAAATTACAAAGAGGAGATAGGAGAAAAAAAGAAATCTGATTTATACCAATATCATTCATTATACTTCTTCATATTTTTCTTATTCCAGCAAACCATCCTTACATCCACAATGTCCATGCATTACATCATACACTACATT